TCTTTTGAGGGTAGAGCAGCTCGTCTGCACATGGCTTCTTATCACGTTTGCCAGTGATTTGCGAAAATCATTTTTTACTACTAAAAACTTCACTGAACAACTACGGTTATTTTTAATATAACACATTACTTTGTTTTCCAATGGAACTGCTAAGGTTTCATCTACAGGCTCCGACTTTAGAAGAATTACTAGATTTGTAAATTTACCCAGTGGTAATACATTTCTGAGAAAACTGTTCAATGTTTTGTGGTTGCTTATGTTTTTTGTGCTGAAAACAATAATTACATAGTCATTTTGTCCATGATCCATAGTTTGAGTGAAAATATTACTTGTGATATTTTCAGCCTCTGTGTTGGGCTTAACAATTCCTTCAACTATATAGATCGCCCACAATGAGCAGATTCTTGGAACTGTTTGCACTGTTCCTGGATTGTTTAAAAAGTTCATCATACAAAGATACATTTCCCTCAGTCGTCTTCAGCAGTTTATTCCTATTGTCTAATATCTTTTGTTGATCGTTGGCATTTCCTTCAGTGTTCTCCGACAATCGACACCAACCTGTCTTCCTTTGCCATTTCTTCTAATTCGCCTATTTTCCTTGATTATGCATTGTTTGTTTCTTCCAAAACACTAATGGTTTCCAGCATATCGGCACGAATATTTTTCAGCTTCGTCATCTCTGTTTGCATGTTTTTGTTATCTGTTCATAACTGTCCATCTGTTTCTGAAGGTTTTTGTTCTTCTGCTCTGCGTCGATTATTTCTTTTTGTAGTATACACATTCTTTCTTTTTGGTTTTTCAATTGCTACCTAAAAGAGTTTTGCTCCTCTATGAAACTTTGTTCAAATTCAAAAACATCTTCTTCAGAATCCGTAGCCTTCTTCATTAATCTTATTATATGTTTCTCTTTTTCTTGTACCTCGTCCTTTAATGAGTTAATTTCTATAGTGTATGAATCGTAGTTTCGATGCTCGTTATCTTCTGATTCACAGGCAGCAGAACATAACACTCTGTTATTTGAGAGCTTCATAATTGAACTCAATCTATTTGCACAGCTCGCGTGAAAAATTGCATTGCATGATATGCAAAATAAGAAAGAGCTTCTTTTGTTTTGCATCATTTGAATCTAGCTACCTTTTTTCTATCGGATACGGGCCTGTTTGTTTTCTTATTTATTATCTTGTCTTTTGTAAATATGGTGATTAGGAATATACTCACTGGTCGTTTTTGCCGTGCTGTTTTTTGTGTACTTATTTGCGTTTTGCAATTAGTCCTCAATATTAGTATTACTGAGTTGCAGTTTTTCAGCATATAATTTATAAAAATTGCTCACATGTGGATGCAGCACTGGTTCAAATTGTGAAATTTTCTCTCAGCAATAACCCACTATAGTAAGCAAAAACAGATACGACGATAAAAGAAGGTGATACACCACCATTGGATATTGAACGTATAATTAATTAATTAAAATTTCGTGTCAGCACTCTATTTTGATGTTATACTTTCTTTTTGAATCCTAAGAGACCTTGGAATATCACAAGAATACTTATATCGACCAGTTTATTATGTGAAAAATCTTATACCATAGCGTTTTTTTTATATACCGCAGCGGCCGAGCAGGCAGAAGCCTAAATGCCGGGACACCGCGGCTGCTATGATGATCCCAAAGAAATTTTGTTTATACGATTTTTGAACTGCCTAAGGTTACTAGAACTGGGAAAAGCTTACTCTTGTAGATTGTTCCATAATATCGATACCCTCTGGACAAAGGAGCGGCCAGTTCTGGATGTACGAAGTTCGACACGGTTAGGATGGGAGGCCAAAGTCAGGCGGGTCTGTCTGGCAAGCACAGCGCGCGGCGGCATCATAGAACAGAGCTCTGAGGAGCAAAGTCCGTTGGTGTAGCGGTAGAAGAGGGCTAGATCGCCGACTGCCTGCCGGTACGAAAGGCTCTGTTAGAGAAGAGTCATCGATCAGTTGGACAGCCCTCCTCTGGACAGCATCTAGCATAAATAATGTAGTCCAGGCGGCAGTACCTCAAACGTTTCAGCAATACTCGAGGCTTGGCCTTATCTGGCGATTGTATAGAGTGAGAAGGTCATGCGGAGAAAAATACTTCTTAGCCCTAAACAAATAGCCTAGATTTTTCCCAGCAGCTGCCGCTATTGACGAGATGTGTTCGTGCCAGACCAGGTCCTCGGTGATCTGGACTCCGACCAGCCGAAATGAATGGCTCTTTGGCAGAACTCGGCTATCCATCAAAACCGGATCAGCGCTAGGACGCTTTTTGTTCGTCAAGGTACAGTACTGTGTCTTGGAAGCCTTAAACTGTACAAGACTGTTGAGTCTCCAAGCAGTGATAACCTCCAGGTCTCTCGTCAGAGAGGAAGTCGTCGCTAGTCTTCTTTTTCCCAGCTCAGTGGCAGAGATCGGCTTGTCACTTTGAATTCCTTCATGCAGAGCGCTGTCATCAGCGAAGGTGTGGATTCGGTTGATCGTGCAGGAAAGGAGGTCGTTGGTATGTAAGAGGAACAGCGTCTGAGCCAAGACCGATCCCTGGGGAACACCCGCGTTGACGTTATGGGTTGAGGAGCAGATCCCGTCAATTACGGCGGATAACTTGCGGCTAGAGATAAAGTCAGCCACCCATCTGCAAAGCTTCTCTGGGTGTCTATAGGCTGGAGGTTTGCTTAAGAGAGCAACGACATGAGCCTCACCATAAGAACTGATAAGTTTACTCCACAATGGCGTGACGTAAACTAGGAGGCCCACTGTGGATCGCTGGTGCCGGAAACCATAAAGCCTGTCGCTAATCAAGCTGTGACGTTCGAAGTAGTCCAGAAGCTCGCGATTTATGCACCTCTCCATCACCTTACGTATAACAGAAGGCAGAGCTATAGGCCTGTAGTTGTGAGGGTCGGTCTAGATCCCTTTTTTGGGATGGGTTGGCCATGAGCAAATTTCCAGTTTTCTGGAAAGGTGCCGGATTCATACGACATCTGGAAGAGACGCGACAGAACTGGAGCAAGGTCCTTTGCACACCTCTTCAGTACAAGTGCGGGAATCAAGTACGGACCAGAAGCTTTGTTAATGTCGAGCGACAAGAGCACTCGTCTTACGGTCTTATGCCTGAATGCTACAAACCCGCATAGTGTAGAGTAACCCTTTGAATTGACAACACTTGGGCGTTGGGGGGAAGTCCGTGGTGGAGTTGGCAGCAAATATCTTGGCAAGCACTTCCGCCTTGGCCTTTGAGTCGGATACAACCGTTCCATTCTTACACGTAGGTGGTGGAAGGCTACTGTGTGAGAAGTTATTTTGTGTCTGATTGGCAAGCGTCCAGAAAGACCGACTGCTATTGCACTGCGACATTACCCTGTGCCTAACGTTTATATCGTGCTGGTTTTGGTATTGCGAACTGCTTCGTTATATTTGTTTCTCAACTCGTCATCGGCTTGTCTGTTCTCTACAGTGGGGTTTTGTAAGAGGGTTCTGTGTGCCTTGAACTCCTGCTGGCGAGCAGTGTCAGATAATTCGTTAACCTAGCCGTTGGACCCTGATTTAGACACTTTCACTGTATGAGGGATGTATTTCTCCATTCCGACGTGGACCATTTCGGTTATCGAAGAACAGTCAGCCGTCGCATCCGCGTCAGTGAAACTACCATCTTTCCACGGAAAGGTAGAGAAGAAGTCTCCGAGCTCCTCCCAGTCGGTATGTCCGTAATGCCAAATTTTGCGGCCTGTGCTAGTTTCTGCTGCCACAGCGGGTTTTGACCGAAACCTAACTTCCACAACTCCGTGGTCTGAGTTACCCAGGGGGGACAGGACAGCGGTGCTGTAACGGACAAGATGCATGGTCAGAAAGAGATCCAGCAGGTTACTGTGACGAGATGCGGGGGAAAGAAGTAGGCCTTTGAGTAAGAGCGAACGCTCCAACTGCATGACCTGCTGCATCGGTCTTGTTTAAGCCCAATCAAAGCTTGTTATGGACATCAAAATCACCGAGGAGAACTACCTCTGAAGCGGGGTGATTGATGTTCAGGAAGTCGATCTTGACGGCGAGGTATTCCAGTAGGTCATCCCAGCTATGGTCCGAAGGAGAGCGATACAGGCAGCAAATACATTTGGGGGATGTTTTGGAGTAGAGGCGAAGCCACAGAATGTCTTTCCGGTCTGATTCCAGAGAAACATCTCTGTAGCAGGAAATACTGGTGCGGACAAAAGGCACCACTTCCCCGTTCTTTCTCAGATTGGAGTGCACCTAGTAATTTGGTAACCTAAGATGATTAATCGGTGCAGACTCTGAGATTTTTGTATCGATCAAGAAAAGCATAGCGGGACGATTGGATTGCAAGTAGTGATGAACAGCATCAATGTTGCTGTTAATCACGCAGATGTTAGTGAAACCAATTTTCTCTTCGATGTTGTTCCCTCGAGTCCACCTTCCACTCGAACATTCCGAAAGTAGAGTGAGCTTATGTCTGGAATTCTTAGTACTTGAGAGATCCATCATCATTATTATCCTTGTTTGGGAAGATAACCGACTGCATAGCTTAGGTGTGGAAACACGCGGACATTTATAAGCTGACGGGTGGTACCACCTCGGTCGACCGGACCTTGTCTACTACCTTCTTTTTGCATGTTAATGGTATTAAATAGACCTAAAGTGGCCCGTTGGCGGACTTGTACCGCCACCCGGCAATCGGTACTGAGGTATTCCTTAACGCGTGTACAATCACTTGAACGGGAAGAAATTCTATACTGGATACAATGTCTTCCGGAACAGGCATTTGCCACAGCCCCGCTCAGTAGTGGTAGGGTAGGGTAGGTAGTAGGGGGGCTTTAACAATTCAGATTTTCAGTTTACTGATACCGATCGAATATTTAGTATCAGGTAAGGTATCTCTATAGATCGGAGACCATTATACATATAGCTAGCTTACAAATGAGGGAGAGAGGAAGTAGATCTTTTATTGTTTCTTTGGAAAAAACACCTACCAGCCAAGTTGCACTTCGCTAATATGGATTTTTGAGCTAAGAACACCTTCTCTTTGGGCAGCTCCACCATGAGTCGATCACAATCAATGCAAATAGCATCGGAAAACGTGATCAACTCGTCGATGTGCCCTAGAGCGGTGGAGCATTCTACTTTAGTGACTAACTGGATGCAATCGCAGTGCTGCCCCATCTGGTCCCTGATTTCGAAGATGCCGTCTTTGCCTGTGATGCCCGATACAAACAAGTAGTCAATGTTCTCCCCAACTGTTATGTCGAGTAATTCCTTGTCGCTTGGAGGTAGAAGAGGCAAGTCGATTGGTGCATTAGGTATGATCACTGATGCGTTGCTCAGTAGCCTTCCGGCCTTCTCTACGATACATCTGGGCAACATTTTTGGAAATAATAGTATTTATCAATACACCTTCCATGTAACTCATCATTTACGAAAACTGCTCACAATGACCATCACAAGGCGTCAGTCTTTCTCTCTGTTCGTTTTGGGTTGTGACCAACAGTTATGCAATTTTTCAGATTATCCACATTTTTTTAGAGGGATTGCGTAGAAACTTCAGAGATAGAACACGCTATAAGTATGCTCATTGTCTACTTATCCATTGTATGTTTGTGTCTGGGATGTATGATGAAGATATTTGAGTCTTGCATTCTAGCTCGATGTATCTGGTTATTTTGAACAGTTTTTGTAGATAAAAAATTTAACGTAGTATGATATTGACAATTACCTTATTATACTTTCCACGCATTCAATGGCAGTCAGCGTTACAGATCCATTGTCCAGTAAAACCTTGTCTCCTGGTTGCACCACCTCTGGCAATTTCTCATAATCTACGTAGATCAAATCTTTACAGACAAACTCTTCGTAGGATGGATTAGTTGTTATCTTAGTAAAGTTTCCTTTTTTTAGGTAAATCTGTTTGTCACTCCCATTTAGCTGACCTGGAAGATATAAGGGGGTGATGCTAATGCATGTACTTAGACACATTATGAAATGAACTGCGTTCGTTTTGTAAGTGAAGTGAGACAATCCAAACAGGGGTGAGGTTGTCAAATAGGTGGATGTCTGATTCAATTCAGAGTTCAAGGCGGACATTTACAAAACAACCTGAAAAATGACTTTTTTATTTATCAAAGAGGGACATTGAAGACTAAACATTTTTGCAGTTTGCTGACATGGATCGCCGCAACAGTAGGGTAAAGTTGGGTAATTTGTACCCTTGGAATTAATTTATGAAATAACTCGTAAATTATTTATTTGATTCAAATGATAATTTTAAGTAAGATTGTTTCACGCATTTCTATCAAAATTCATATCAAAAAGCTTATATAATTTTGTTTATTATTTGGACTACACAAAGGCTTACCTAATGTTGTAAAATACTGCGTAAGTTTTAGTCCGATATGTTTTGATGTCAAGAGGCAAATATTTGGTGGGCATAATATACCGGTACAATATATCTTTCCCCTATAAGTGTAATCAAAGTTGAAAGTGTCACATTTTTTTCCAATTCAGTGGTTTTTACACATAAACATAATAAACTTAACAAACCTTAAATCTGCAAGTGATGACAAATCTCACTCAGCTAAGGTTGGTGTAAAAATTTCACCTCATTTAAATCGAGTTTTGGTAAAAAGAACGAGCACACTGAAGTGAGGTGAGCGTATCTCAGATTGTATGTGAAGCGAACATGACTACAGACAGTCAAAAATTGCCCAGAGAATATTTCAGAAAGACTTGCTTGGAAAATCCATGAATTATAGATTATCTCAAAATCATTGCCTCTAGAACTGTTATGCCAATAGTTCACATTTGTTCAATCAAAATTGATACGTCAAATGCCTTAAGGATCTGCAGTACTACTATCTATACTAAGTGACATATAAATCCGAACACCCAGTTTAAATGGTTTTATTTTAATAAAATTTTGTATAAGTACTTAAGGAAGCATAATAAGTAAATGATAAAAATTTCAAAATGATTGCACTGCTTTAAAGCCCTTTGACCTTTAATAATGTGTGGATGCACCCTGATGTGCTACGCATTCTCCAACGCGCCTAGGCATGCTTCTGATCAGGTGGTCAATGTCCTCCTGTGGTATCTCATTCCAGGCAACCATCAACTCCTCTCGAAGTGCTTCTAGAGTCTGAGGAGGACGTTGCAAATTGAGCAATCTCCTACCCATCATATCCCACACGTGCTCAATTGGGGATAAGTCGGGAGATCTTGGTGGCCATGGTAACAATGTGACATCATTATGTTTAAAGAAGTCTATTGTGACTCTTGCAACATGTGGTCGGGCATTATCTTGTTGGAAAGTTGGATCTGCCAGGGTGTCAAGATAGGGTAAAAGATGGGGTTCTAGAACTTCGTGGATATAACGTTGCGCGTTCATGTTACCTCTGATGAAGATTAAAGGTGACCTGGAACCATAAGCTATAGCACCCCAAACCATAACTCCAACAGTGTGATGAACATGTCTTTCAACAAAAAACTGTGGATTCCTCCTTTCACCACGTCACCTTCTAACCCTGGCACGACCATCGTGCATGCCTAAACAAAATCGAGACTCGTCACCACTCAAGGCGATTACGTCGGTGTTCTCGAGTTAAAGGGAGGACCCAGTGTGGCCGGTATGAAAACAAGCCAAAACTTCTCATTCGTCGGTAAACACTTCGCATGCCAATAGGTCTTCCGTGTTCTGCAAACCATTCATTTGCAATGGACCTGGTAGTGGAGAAACGGTCCCTTAAGGTCAATAATCTTAGGCGGCGATCTTCACGGTCTGTTGTTCTACGGCGGCGTCCAGTGCCCCTTGCTCTTTGCGTACGGCCTTCTCGAAGCCATGCCTGACAACACCTAACCACAGTGTCTACACTTCTTTGCACTCTAACTGCAATTGCCCGAAAAGAAAGTCCAGCTTCCCGAAGTCCCACTATACGGCCCCTATCAAACTCACTAAGTTGACGAAATCGTACAGGTCTCCGTACGCTAGGCATCGTAACCGATCGTAAAGGATGTCAAGAACCAAAATCCGCCAACGTTGATTCTTAACTGCGGCTGAAATATTCATTTTTAGAGCGTTAGTGAATTAAAAAAAGCAGTATAAAAACCGTAATGTCCAACTGATAAAGCTGAAAATTTTTTCACTTGTTATTTACAGTAAGATAACATAAATACATTCACCAACTTTTATTAAAATAAAACCATTTAAACTGGGTGTTCGGATTTATATGTCACTTAGTATATATCCGGAGTACCATTGATTAGCGTATTTTACCCGATAGAATATGTGGACTAATGATTTCACATGACAACATAACTGATTTATCTTTTAGATATAAACAAGAAATTTGGTTTTCAGTACAGGATATTATTGGAATTTTCTGAAATACTTTTTTGTTGTATGTATTGGCTTTCAACGACGTGCCATGGAAAATATTTCATAGATAAATAATTGAATACATTTTTTATCCAAAAACAACCATGTGCAGATCTTTTGTATTCAAAATTCCTTGTTGGTACGTCAAGAAATAAATTAGTTTGTTTACTTTCAGTTTGACCATAAAGTATTTTTAAAAAGAGGTGCAAAGCATTCCTTGTCAAAACATAGTTAAATAATGATGGATCTACTGATGTATACTAAGTGACATATAAATCCGAACACCCAGTTTAAATGGTTTTATTTTAATAAAATCTTGTATAAGTACTTAATGAAGCATAATAAGTAAATGATAAAAATTTCAAAATGATTGCACTGCTTTAAAGCCCTTGACCTTTAATAATGTGTGGATGCACCCTGATGTGCTACGCATTCTCCAACGCGCCTAGGCATGCTTCTGATCAGGTGGTCAATGTCCTCCTGTGGTATCTCATTCCAGGCAACCACCAACTCCTCTCCAAGTGCTTCTAGAGTCTGAGGAGGACGTTGCAAATTGAGCAATCTCCTACCCATCATATCCCACACGTGCTCAATTGGGGATAAGTCGGGAGATCTTGGTGGCCATGGTAACAATGTGACATCATTATGTTGAAAGAAGTCTATTGTGACTCTTGCAACATGTGGTCGGGCATTATCTTGTTGGAAAGTTGGATCTGCCAGGGTGTCAAGATAGGGTAAAAGATGGGGTTCTAGAACTTCATGGATATAACGCTGTGCGTTCATGTTACCTCTGATGAAGATTAAAGATGACCTGGAACCATAAGCTATAGCATGCGAAGTGTTTACCGACGAATGAGAAGTTTTGGCTTGTTTTCATACCGGCCACACTGGGTCCTCCCTTTAACTCGAGAACACCGACGTAATCGCCTTGAGTGGTGCAGACAACGGTCACTCTGGGATCAGGAGTGGAACAGTATTGTCTTTAGTGACGAGTCTCGATTTTGTTTAGGCATGCACGATGGTCGTGCCAGGGTTAGAAGGCGACGTGGTGAAAGGAGGAATCCACAGTTTTTTGTTGAAAGACATGTTCATCACACTGTTGGAGTTATGGTTTGGGGTGCTATAGCTTATGGTTCCAGGTCACCTTTAATCTTCACCAGAGGTAATATGAACGCGCAGCGTTATATCCACGAAGTTCTAGAACCCCATCTTTTACCCTATCTTGACACCCTGGCAGATCCAACTTTCCAACAAGATAATGCCCGAACACATGTTGCAAGAGTCACAATATACTTCTTTCAACATAATGATGTCACATTGTTACCATGGCCACCAAGATCTCCCAACTTATCCCCAATTGAGCACGTGTGGGATATGATGGGTAGGAGATTGCTCAATTTACAACGTCCTCCTCAGACTCTAGAAGCACTTCGAGAGGAGTTGGTGGTTGCCTGGAATGAGATACCACAGGAGGACATTGACCACCTGATCAGAAGCATGCCTAGGCGCGTTGGAGAATGCGTTGCACATCAGGGTGCATCCACACATTATTAAAGGTCAAAGGGCTTTAAAGCAGTGCAATCATTTTGAAATTTTTATCATTTACTTATTATGCTTCATTAAGTACTTATACAAAATTTTATTAAAATAAAACCATTTAAACTGGGTGTTCGGATTTATATGTCACTTAGTATATAACTATTTACATAGGAATAGATGGTGTAATGCGGGCTTCAACAAATTTTATTATACACACCCATGTAAATCTCAAACTTAACTAACGTCATAGGGAAAAACGTACCAGTTCGAATCTCAGGCCCCTTCACCTCCAATGCGATCGCAAGTGGGTTTATCCTCCCTAATCTTCTGCTGTAACTTTCGTTAACAGTTCTGACCTTAGACAATACCTCTCTGACTTTGCCAGGCTTATCGGCAGTTATTCTAGCTACTGATATGCCAAGGGCCAACAGTCCCTCCAGTGTATTGCAGGTGATGTAGGGTGGAATGGAGCATACCAGCTTAGAAAAGAAGATGACGATTCTTTAATAAAATATTGGAATCTTTATGTATTAACACCGCTAGAAAGGGTTTTGACGTGATGTTATCACTGCGACAAGAACGAGAAGGTGTTGTAGTTTTTGAAAATGTGATGGGGAAAAGTATAAACGCCGTATTTTTGTTAGTTTCGAGGTCAGAGTGTTTTCTAATCAAGTTTGGTGGTTATTAAATGGACCCGGCCATTTTGGATAAAGTTGTAGCCTACCACGGCGTAAGATCCAAGTCTGAAGATTTTAGTATCAATAGTTGAGCAAACAGAAAAAAATAAATTAGATATACGAAAAATGCTAACACGACCTTGTGGTTTCTTTAAGGTTTGAGTACACATGTAATAGCTATACAGGGTGACTTTGAAGTTGAGTCATTAATTTTCAGATAATGATTGTAGAAGGAAGATAAACCAAAATATGCGTGTAAAAATACACATTATGAGTTTTTGGAAATGGGTCAAACCATCACTGCTAACTTGTATTGTGAGCAGCTTCAACCGGAAAAGTGACCCGAGAAAAAAATTCTGAACTCGGCTGGGAAAAGTTACGGCACTCGCCATATTCTTCCAACATTTCGCCCAGTGATTATCACCTTTGTCTCTTGACAACTGTTCATAAATGCAGTCCGCCGATTTTTTTACTCCAAATCCAGGGAGTTCTACAATACCGGCATACAAAAATTGGTTCCACGTTGGCAAAAGGTCATTGAATGTGATGGTAATTACTTCGACGAATAAATAGTGTCTTATTGTTTCTCAATAAAAATTTATATTTTTCCACTAAAAACCGCACGAACTTATTTGGTTACCTGATATATGATCCCTAACCTATTTTTCACGATACTTGATCCTGTTGATGTCTAGTGAAAACAACAGCTAATAAGCAAGTGGCAATAATGAATCTAGTAAAACTCAGGACCGCATTCCGAATTATTTTCAGCAAACACTGATAAAACCTTTTTTTTACATATCTGGCTGTAAATATAGTCATGATGATTAGCAGCCGCATTTCTTATATGGGTTTTGTTTTTGTGCGAAAAAACTTCAATAAATAAGAGCGTTGAGGAAGTATGAATCAGTTGCATACAAATAACCGCAACAAAATACGTCTCTGTGTACAGATCTCGCATTGACAGGGTTGTGCAGTTGTCGATCGCCCATTTGTCATTGTCTGTCAGAGCGGTTCGTAGGATATTTGCTCTTAGTTAAAGGGTCATAGGTCAGTAGGTTTGTCAGGTCAGGTTGCCCAGATACTAGACAAAGTCAGGAGCCCTTGTCGACATGGCATACTCTGAAAATTACTATCCGTTGATGCATTTTAGAATGGTCAAGGCGTGAAGAAGTATCGTGAAAAACGAATTACGAGGAGGTACCCAAAAATAACCGGAATAGCATTGCAGTGGGCGGAGCTTGTGTAGTACGCATTTCTGCCCCTAGAGACGTACAGCGCAACTCATTACCAGTTCAGTGCCATCTGAGTTGTCGATCCGGCTTGTTTGTTCCTCTGTAGTTATTATTTTTGCTAGAGCTGTTTCGTGCTTGTTTCGTTTTTTACGATGGCAATCTTCAGTTAATAACGTGCAGTATGTGAAATGTTGCTTTCCAATTGGTAAAATGCTGCTGAAACTGTTTTAATGTTGAAAATAGCTTACAAAGATGAAGCTATGGGAAAAACTCAGGTGTACGGGTGGTTTGCTCGATTTAAAAATGGCGACATGTCGATTGATGACAAACCTCGCTCTGGACGTTCATCAATTGCCGGATCGACGAAAATGTTGCAAAAATTCGAGAGTTTGTGCTATTTGGAGGTGTTAAGACGATTGCGAAACAGTGTTCGGCAAAAAGACCCGATTTGTGGCAGTCAGGAGATTGGTTGATCCACCGCGATAATGCACCTGCGCACACAGCCATCTTGGTTCGACAGTATCTGGCTAAAAAAGGCATAGTTCCGCTGCATCACGCACCTTATTCGCCTGACCAGGCTCCGTACGACTTTTTATTTCCACGGATGAAAAGGGGCTCTGACGACATTGAAGAGGTCAAGAAACAAACGACGGAGGAGCTGTCAGACATTTCTAAGGAAGACTGAAAAAATGTTTCGAGCAGTGGAAGCACCGGTGGGACAAGTGTATTAGTTGTAGTGGACAGTAGTCTGAAGGAGATACGGTTAGTTTGTGAAAAAGTTGAAAATAAATAGCGTTCAAAAAATAATTCCGGTTTTTTGGGTACCCCCTCGTATACTTATATGTTTTAGCGCCCTCAACTTGACCATTTTTGTGTTGTTTAAATATTTGCTTTTAACTCAAAAATGGTCAGCGATTAGCGAAAACTTATCAAAATGTTATGAGACAAATGATGTAAGAAGATGAATGGAGCGTAAAAATTAATGTTTAGCTAGGTACTGGTGAAATTTTTTGAAATAGTTTTACCTCTTGATGCGTGCGTGGAATGTTGATTTTTACAGTTGAGCCCTGCACGAAGCTGATTGTAGGAAAAAATCTTTTGGGTATACCTTCCAGTGTCACCCTTTTTGTCTTTGCTACCATAAATAACGGCGATTTTTGGATTGGGAAGTATTTTTGGAGAAATTTCAAATTTACTGCATTTCATACCTTAGTTGCTCTGAATGGACTCGGTTTGGACTTGACATTTAAAGCACTGAGGTACTCGTAAGTTGTACGAGCAAAAGCCGCTTGGTGCTGACTGTTGAATACTTCTCCATCTTCGTTACTGTGAAAGTCTATCATCCATGGCAGCTTCGGACAGTGCGGGCGGGAGTCCATTATGGAGTAACACTAGAATTTTGGAAATATACGGTATTTGAGTTACGTCACAAATTTCAATTTTGATTGAGCTGACACACAACGTTGAAACGTCTTTAAGTCAGTTCCGAGTTGTGAAGACAGATAATGGCTTTGGGTAAACTATGTAGACATGTAGACTATTAAAAATACAAGGTGTCCGACAGGACAGTCCATATTTAGTATTCCAATACCAATAGTATGCGCTCATCAAGAAAATCTTCACCAAGGTTCAAAATACTGTAGGGAGAGGGGCCTAACACGGAAGAGAGCTCTCTTTATTAGAAGAAACCGTCCAATATCTTCTTAAAGCGCTCTGAATGCGTGTTGTCATTTTTAAAAGTGCTGCAATTATTTCTTAATGAGTTGAATAGTAGGTGAATCGTTAACGATAAACAAACTACGTATAGTCCAGTAAGTATCTTCGCAATTTTTGACATAGTCTCCTTCTAACGAATGTGCATGTTTACATGCTGAAAATAGCACCAGATATTGTTCGAACAATTTTTTGAAAGCAACTTCAATTTTTTTGGTCCAGGCAAAGCTTTTGTCATTTGGGCCATTCTCAATAAAAAGGGTTATTATGAACTTTTGTCTAAAGTTGACAGTTATATTTATAGTTAGATATAAGCACTTTAGTTATTTGGAAAAGGGCAAAATATGCAATCTCTTAGTCCGAAAAACAATACGAAAAAATTTTGGAATTAAATATAATATCAATAAGAGTAATAAATTTTATTTATAACATATAAGCTCTTTAGATATTCTATATAATTCATAAAAAATCTAAATATTCTTCAGAAATCCATTAATAAAATCCCAAAGCCTTTTAGTAGTAGTTAGTATCGCTAAATTGATCTTTTGTTTTCTTAATTATTAAACAAGCGCACCCTTAATCTATTCTATGCGTGTAGAGTCTTTGCCTAGGGACGGCCGCCAGCTGCTTATCTCTCACGCTCACTCAGAAGGTACATTGATTAACTATTGAAAGTCAAAAGTTTACAATAACAATTCCCTCTAAAGTATTTTAGAATTTTGTTAACGGATGTTTGGAGAATATTTAGGAACTTTGGAGTATTAAAATTGTTACGTTCAAAATGATCCAAAAGCACACCTTAACTGGGGCAGAAAAACAATTTATGGAGTTTTTTAAGCTAATGGTAAACAGAGCTTCTTTTTTACTGCAATTAAGCTTACAAACTAATCAGGATATTTTCCAAGCGGATATGAAGATACTTCCTTGCTTTCTGGACTATTATGCTGTTGAACCTTGTTCTAAAAAAAAAGTCTAGTTTTAATACACGAAATGTTTTTAATATTCACTATAACACCCCTAAACGGAAAAATTATAGGCGAATTTTTGAATACGTCTTGAAATCTCCAACGCGACGTTGCCCCTCACACCCTTTAGGGTAAATGGGATTTTGATTATATATATATATATATATATATATATATATGTCGGCGTCAAAGGCTGAAATCAGTCATTCCCTGAAATGCCTAGTCAGTCCCCGTATTGCCGGAAACACCGTAACAGTTTGATTATTACAGCGTTTGACTAAGCACTTCAGTTATTCCCTGTAATGACTGAATAATTTCAGTTAAAAACCGTAACAACCACATTAACTTCGTTACTCCATTTGCCTGATTCAGTCATTCATTGTACCAGTTTTGTGTTCATTTGCTTGAGTATACACATCGTCTTTTCTGTGTTTGTAAAGATGACGCAGTATTCAGAATTGTTTTACAAGAAACTATGACAGGGTGAATAAGAAAAAACCATGGAATACAAATGAGTTAAAGGAGGTAAGTTAATTTTTATAATTATGTGAACCTAACCTAAATTGTAACGTATAAATGCTTGCTCAACAGCAGCATCCATTGTTGCCGGATTTCGTATATAAATACTTGATTAAAAAACAATAATGTAATAATAAAGACAACGTTTTAATCTATTCTTCTTTCCTTTTTAATTAATTCATGATTATTTTTCTTTTAATATTATTGATAAAGTAGTACCTGATATATACGTATTATGTACGTCATTGGAGCAACACCGTATTGATTACAGCGTCTGACTACAATAGGCGAATGCAGTAACGAAGTTAATGTGGTTGTTACGGTGTTTGGCTGAAATTGTTCAGTCATTACAGGGAATGACTGAAATACTTAGTCAAATGTTGTAGTAATCAAACTGTTACGGTGTTTGCCGGCAATACGGGGACTGACTAGGCATTTCAGGGAATGACGTATTTCAGCGTTTGACGCCGTCATATATATATAACCTTGTCCTAGCGATAGCAGTAGTAGGTAGTAGACACTACTTCAGTGCAGTGACAGTAAAATATTAAAAAATACCTCCAAATATCATTTTTGGATATTTTCCGATGTTCATTTTTAGGCTTAGGGAACAAATTGACGACAAAATATTGAATCAAAGACATACAGAATCTTGTTGATGCTTCGAAATTTTTCAAATTGACGTAGGACATAGTGAAAAAACTTGTAACTTGAATCTCATGAATGAAAAAGGGGTGATTTTTATTATTTTTGGTGTCGTTCTCTTGCCTTTTAGGCCAACAGGCCTTTCGTTGAAGACTGTCCGACTTTTACGAACCATAACCAGTAGGAATGATTTCACATTATCTGATAGATTTCAGTTTAGAGAACAGAACAGATCTCTCTTTTGATCAAACTTCTTGGAAACAAAGCGATTAACCAGATTTTTTTGCACAGTATATGTCTCGATAACCAGGTTAAAAGTATTTTTCTGGGTACAGACTTTTATTTTTTAAGAGTACAGTTATTATAGTGCCCAATCAATCTGTTTTCCGATTCTAAGCGACTGGATCAAAATTATCAGTACAAATGCTATGTTGTTCCAATATGTAAACCTTCCGCTGTGGATATATATAGAATATGGATGTATTTCACAGAACATTCATATTTAATGTCCCTCATAGTAGAGTGGAGCTGGAACAGGCCAAACATAATCGCAGATTTTTCGATTGCAACCCCTTAAAACGCACCCCAAAAGCGTCAGCTTGTTCCGGATTCGGTTGACCCGCGAAACTCCCGCTTGATCCGGACATTGGCGGGTAGTAGATAGTATTTTAAGGATATAGGCTGTGGCAGCGCGACTACTATAAAGGCGGTCGCTGTGATTTTTGAAGTACCTAAAATTAGGGAGGAGAGGTCATTTGGTATATCTATCGTTGAATGAAATCGATGATTGAGATCGTTTGTTAAGGTGGCTACAGACACAACTGCATGCTTGTCCAGCATGCTTGTTCAATCTTTTTGTACAAGTACGCTTGAATGTTTGTAGGGAAATGTGGTGCAAGCTTCGTAATTGTACAAGCAGCTTGAGGATTGAATTGATTTTAATTATGCATGCTTGAATTAGGCGCGCTTGCGCAAGCAAAACGGTAGGTGTGTACCCAAAATTGTCAAGCTTGCACAAGTTGGCTTCTCTCCTGTTGTGTTGAAAATATCGTGACTGGTCGTACGTAGTAGCATTTGAGTAATTTTCGTCATGACTAGTGATCTCAAAAAGGTTAACCGTGAATTATTGGAAGATTTTATTCGAGAATATCAAAATCAGCCATGTCTTTGGCACGTTAAATCCAAAGATTATCATAACAAAGCAAAGAGGGATGCAGCATACAGAAGATTATTACAAAAATATAGGTTAATTGATGTTAATGCCGACAAGGATGCAGTTGTTGAAAAGATAAACTCCTTCCGGACTAATTATAGAAGAGAAAAGAAAAAAGTTGAAGATGCAGAACACTCTGGAATGGGTGCAGATGAACGTTATGAGCCCACACTCTGGTACTACCACCTGTTTCACTTTTTAGGAGATCAAGAAATACCTAGAAAATCAGTATCTAACTTGAACGAGACAGAGGTAAGTTTTATTGTTTTTCATATTTATACATAAGTAGTTTATTTATTTGCATAAAAAGTCCACACACACTTAATGTACCATATTATTTTATTAATGTATAAAGTTGTGTTGCCAAGGTACTGCTCCTTCATTGGAAAAGTAATTCCTGAATTCTTCTCTAACCTGTTTAGCATTAAATGGCGTATTTCCTGTCATATAGGACCTTTGTAATGATGACATGTTAGAACTTTCAGAGGTCAAGCCAGCGCGAATCATACCACTTTCTATGTCCTCTAAGTGAAAAGAGTCCGGTGGAGCATAAATTTCTTTTACTGTCGACATTAAATAATTGTGTAAAGCACATGTTGCAATATTTCCTCAATGTGATATAACTCTAAATTGATAGAGGTGTGAAAAATTCTAAAGCGTGCTGGGTAATCCCAAAGACGTTCTCCACGATTCTCCGTGCTCTCGATAATCGGTAGTTGTAAATTTTTTTTTCAATACAAGTTAAATCACTCTGTCTGTATGGTTTCAGCATGTCAGGCCTCAAAGGAAAAGCATCATCTGCGACAAAAACAAACGGTAGCTTTCGTGACTCATTTGCAACTTCTTTTTCTCCGGGAAACCCCCATCTGATACTCTGCCATTTGTACCTAAATCAAATAAAATAAATTTATAATTTGCATCTGCTATGGCAAGTAGAACTAAACTGTGTCTATGTTTGTAATTGAAAAAAAAAAGATCCACTGTTGGCTGGAGGAATTATATCGATATGTTTTCCATCTAGGCTGCCAAGACAATGAGGGAAATTCCATCTCTTTTCGAAATCCTTTGCTATAGCAATCCAGTCATTTTCAGTTTGTGGAACCTGGAAATAAATTAATATAACAATACAGAGATATTTTGTACAAAATAATTACAACTACATTATATCTAATGGTAGATGTTATATGTATTTATATTTGCTAAATATTATTTTCAGGAAGAAGTTGAAGCCCAACCAACTAAAAATTCTATAGAAAGTTTAGACCAACCCATTGAGGAGGATGAGTCAACAACACATGATGATACTGGCTGTCAAACAACTGAGGCCACACAATCCACCCCAAAAAAAAGCACCATTTCCCGACCACCTAAACGCAAAATTGACAAATGTGATTCTGTGTTGGACGCAATTGAAGGCCACTTTAAAAAACCTAAGTTAAAAGAAGATAGACATGACATTTTTGGGAAAAACGTCGCTCTGAAAATGAGAGATAGCAAACAATATTCAGAGATTGTTGGCAGAAAAAATGATTAACGATACATTATTCATGGCAGAAAAGGGTCAGTTGACTCCATCCCATCGTATTTGTGGTGAAACTAACAATACATATTCTACAGATTGTCCTTTACCTCAACAATTAAATACCAATTACTCCCATTTCCCCTCAACTTTTCCTCAATCTTAGATACATTATGAAACTCTTTCTCCAGTAACCCCCAATGATAATTCCACTCATTCTATCGCGTCCTATATTTCAAATTTTAGCGATGCTTAATGTTATTTTGTAATAGTTTATTATAGACATGTACCTACTTTTTGTAAATCTTTTCGTTAAAAAAATAATAAATAACTGAGTTTAAATAGTCCTATTACTCACCTTCAAATACCTGCTTCTTAACACCTTGTAAATGACATGGCAGGTTTCAGGAACTATATAACTTAATGCTTGTGGTGAAATAATAGTTGAATACTTCAGGTCTTCATAACTCCTCCCGGTTGCAAGAAATCGCAATGTTGCCGTTAATCTTTCATGTGGTGTTATGGCTTCTCTCATGATCGTATCCTGCTTTTGAATCAAAGGTGATACAAGAGACAAAAGGTTCAAATAGGTCTCTTCGTCCATTCTACGATAATTGTGCCAGTCACGCGGATATATTTTCAGCTCACTTGGTAAGTTAATGTGAGAATACGTTTTCCTTTTCATCAACCATTCTTTACACCACACCGCACGCTTTTTCATTTTGGATTTTTTTTCTTTACAAGAACAAAAGCGATCAAAGCGAGCGCATCATCGTCCGAGCTCGACATATTTCATTAAACTACCTCTCCTTTTATCAAGCATACTTGTACGTGTGGTGCCGAAGGCGATTTGAGCATACTTGTACAAAAAGCTTGAATGAGCATGCTGGACAAGCTTGCAGTTGTGTCTGTAGCCACCTTTAAGTAAGCGTAACAATCGCTCGGATAGTCCTATTCAGAACAGCATCAAGTATGGATATTACAGTCGGTGCATGTCCTCAATGATCTGAACACCCACAAACCGAAATAAATGGCTTTCTGACAAAGCTAGATGCCCACTTGGGTGCTTCTTGTTAGTTGAGGTACAGTACTGTATCTTAGAAGCATTAAACTTCACCAAGTTTTTGTATTCCGTGACGGCGATAATTTAGTCTTTTTTATAGCTCAATCACAGACAGACAAACTTCGCACTCATGGGAGAAATTCTCCAACTTGATTTTCTTTCAAAATCAAGTTGGTTGTATGCCACTCAATATAAATCAAGATGTCGGCGATAATTCGGTGCAAGTTTGTTGAAACAAAGTTTTTGAACAAATAAAACAAAACAAATGGATTTTTGCTCTGGACATTTTTTTAGGCTTCTGGAATCACCCTTAGCAAAAAAGATCATTTGCAACTTTTCCTTAAAGTTTACTGTTTCCAAAATATAAGTGATTTAAGGTGCGAAAACTTCTAATATGTTTTTCAAGATTCCCAAGTGTCAAGAGTTCCAATCTTATCCTACAAGGCCCCGAGGAATATTATGGGCTTATTTTATTTTAAATGATTTTTATTTTTATTGTTGATAACGGGCTATGAGCCAAGCGCATATTCCTTCAGCGTATGGAGGGACGCTTGCATGTACCATAGCACTCCATTGAGCGCGTTTAACTTGATACAGTTTTCACTTGGCTGTGTCCAAAATACTGTTTAGATCTTTGTAGAGGCATACCGAAGCACCCGTGTACGCAGAAACCTAAATACCATGGCACCACCGTTGTTATGCGGTTGTTAAAGAAACTGAATTAATCCGATTTTTGAACTGTCTAAAGTTAGTAGATCTGGGAAAAGCCTGCTCAGGCGGATTGTTCCACAATCTAGATATCCTAGGCACATCGTGCGGTGGCAACCTGAAGGAGAGCTCTGAGGAGCAAAGGCCTTTGACACAGCGGCGGATCGCCAACGGTCCGTCGGTGCGAAAGGGTGCCGAGACTGTCCGTTAGAGAAGTCATCCATCAGTCGGCCATCCCTTCTCTGAACGACATCGAGCATGGGTAATGTAGTCGGGGCGGCAGCACCCCAAAAATGTGTACATTACTCAAGGCTCGGACTTATCCGGGTCTCCTATAGTTCTAAACAAATAGTCTAGCCTTTTCCCACTAGCTATTGAAGAGATATGTTCTTGCCAGGTCAAGTCCTCGGTGATCTGGATTCCGACCAGCCGAAATGAACGGCTCTTTGTTAGGAGGAACATTTTATTTTATAATCTTACTTTTTTTAGTTTTCTCGCTAATACTAATCCTTTTAACCACAAGGCCTAAAATTTTCTCAAGCTTCATATCTTCTTTCGAGGAGTTACAAATCTACCTATTTCTAATGGAGGGACAGAAGTACTTGCACTTTATACACTTTTTTTGTTTACAAGTGATCCAAAGTATCTTGAAAAACATAGTTCAGAGCAAAATTATTAAAAATACTTTAAACAAATTTTCATCCGGTTACTGGCCAGTAACCTGTTGACTCATCTTAAGGACTCAGAAAAATGTTGAGAAACTTTGCTAAGCGATTAAGAAATAGTGCACGCCTATGCAGATGAATTCGTTGAGTCGTACGTACGTCACCGAGGGGACGAGGCATGCACCCCCTCAATCATATCGCACCCTCTAATATCCTGTGACGTCCTTGATAATGCAACAACACCCCCTCCGAGTGCCCCTCTCCCTCCTACCTCATCGCTCCCCTCGACTGGCTTGCTTGGGGGCCTTCGTATGCTGCCCTCCCGATGATTGTCTTGGGATTACTTTTGGCCAAAGTTGCGGACACCGAATCAGAATTATGTATCACGCATGTTCGAAAGAAAATCTTACGGTTTTTTAAGAAAACTGTAAAGCTGCGATGCATTAAATACCATTTTTGTTAATTGAAATAGACATGTTTGCTTTCCGTCTCTGTAACCACGACCGACTGCAGATAGCGCCGTTTTGTGCTCATTAGCAACTCATCAGTGCGCTTTAGATCTGGTAGTCCTGGAGACAGATGGACGGAAAACAAATTGTTGGTATGCTCTGTGAATACTTGGTATTCTGGCTGCTGGATGGGTTCCATCACGCAGAACGTCGAGCAGCTATGAGCTATGAGATAAGGATGAAGATCAACTTTAGCAAAGCATTGGTAGATGAATATCGTCATATTTTTCGCCTGCCTCCGCATTGTGTATATAAGACAAGGAAAATGGGAAAGAGAGAATCTTTTTAAAAAAGATTCCCTTACTTATTTTTAGAACGGGTGAAGTTATCAAGCTGGGATTGGAGGTCATGAAATTAATGCAGGCATACTAATACCATTTCCCTATTGCAGAAAAACAGCAGTTCAAAATTTCAATGCGGTATTCAGGTACTTCTTACGAGTACTTTATAACCCTAGCATATTAAATCATGATTTTTTAAAATGGCTAACTGGCAGACTGTCAAAGTTGAGGGTTCTTGTATATTATCGCTTATAACTCGACAATCAATCATGAAAATGCCATGGCCATTTTCAGGATAATTATTGTTATTTAAAACAAGTTTAGGGAACCTCATTGAAAATCTTGTTCATTTAATGAATGACTGAAAATATAAAGTGGAATTGTTTTGAGCGAAAAATTAAATTTGATTGAATCGACTTTATTGTAACAAACACTTTGCAATTACGAAGTCTGGCCAATGGCCATTCAAACTCAAAATGATTGGTTAATGTTTTTTTAAATAACGTCGTGAGACTACTCGCGAAGGTGATTACAAGAAATCTGATATGAATATCTTTTAACAAAACCTCTGTTTCTAACTCTTGAGCAGGCTACTTCAGATACAATAAATATTATTATATGTCTCAAGGAATGGACTTGGAGAAACGAGAAAATAGATTTCCGTGATTGGCTATATTTTTTACTACTTATTTTGAAGCAACTCAAGAAGGAAATTTAGGAATAAACCTAATGGAAGATTTAATGGGTGCCGCCGTTTTCGCCATGTCTGCACTCCAAGTGAGAGCGTTTTAGAAAGATTTATAAAGCTCTGTGTACAAAACGCACGGTGGAGCTTGACCCAGATATTATAAAACAGGGTGCTTCTTGGAAGTCATAGTGAAATGGAGACCAACACTGACTTTATGGCCTTTTCACTTTTAGTTTGGATTCACGGAAGCCACGAGCCTGTATCTACCATCTCCTAGCAGGCATCGTCCAGGCCGTTAAGCCATAAATGCATATTTTCGTTCTTCTGAATGCCAGAACCAATCGATTTGGTGCATGTTTGAATTTAGTGTTTTCTGTTTGGACAACATAATTCGAGAATTCTATAAAAGTACGCGGATTGTAAATCATTTTGACTGTGAATGAGCTATGCTTTGGAATTATCGTGGGATCTGGTTTTGTAGGGAATAGGCTAAGGTTGGGTAAGTTTTGCATATTTAATGGCTTCTTTGAACTAAATGAAAATTCAAAGTAAAAAACTTAATATGATTTTCTCAAAATGGAAAAGTTAAAATTTATGTACATACTGATCGAAATTTTTTGTAAACGGAGCAATATATAGAACCGGTTCTTCAAATTGTACCTCGCCAAA